GGAATGCTCCTTGGAAGTGAGAATGGCCAGGCTTCATCTCACCTACTTTGGTCATATGGTCAGAAGGGACCATTTCCTGGAAATGTCATGCTTGGTAAAGTGGAAGGTCAATGAAAAGAGGGGAAAGCTTTCAACAAGATGGGGTGACTACAAGTGGCTACAATGATGGGCTCAGGTATAGAGGGATTGTGGAGCTGGCACAGGACTGGGCAGTTTCCTTCTGCTGTACATAGGGTCGTTACGAGTCAGAGATGATTCAACAGCACCTAACAATAACAACAAGGCTCCAAAACTAGTGCACTTTACCCTACACCCCAAAATGGCTTCCCCAAGTCACCTTCAAAGTTAGCATTTAATGTGGGACCAGGACAAATAACCCTCTGAAATAAGGCTGTCATTTTACTGAGGGATTTTAGATGCTTCTGGATTATGCTTTCTGTACCAGGCAGGCAAGTCAAGGGGCAGAAGAGGAAGTATGATTTGACTGTGGTTATCATACTCTTGGTATGCTAGTCCATCTTGCTTTCTATAACACTAGTGTTCTTCCAGATAAGAGTCTTCACAAGCCACACATACCAGAGTGATTGCATGAGAAAGGGAGCATCTCAGCATATAGCCCGTCTGCCTAAACTCAATCGCTGATACATCCTCTTCCAGAACTTCCACCTCCAGACTCTTGTTCTTCCAGCACCAGTCCTCGTGCATGATGCTTACTGGAAAAGCACACGACACAGACACTTAAGCATAAAGCAGACCACCTCCCCTCCAAAAAACAACAATGAATTAAGTAATTAAAAAAAGAGAGAGGTAGCATTGTTCAGAAGAAGTAACTGCTGGAGAAAAACTAAAACCTACGGTCAGTAAAATCACCAAAAGAGCAATTTGACTGGGCCTCAAAGACCAGGTGGCAAACAAGATATTCAGAGTCCATAAATTTTTCCTGTGAAGGACCAGAAAAGCAACTACTTTAGGCTTTGCAGGCCACAGAGTCTTGATCATTCAACTCTGCCATTGTAATGTGTAAGCAGTTGGTCACACATAAACAAGAGTATGGTTGCATTCTAATAAAGGAGGTCTGGGATGCAGTGCCTAAGGCACCTAACTGCTAACCAGAAGTGTGGCGCTTCAAACCCACCAGTAGCTCCATGGAAGGAAGATGGGGCAATCTACTTCCATAAAGATTTACCACCTCGGAAACCCAGTGGGGATCACTATGAGTCGGAATTGACTTGATGGCAGTGAGTTCGGGTTTTTTTTTTGGTGTTCTAATAAAACTTTACTTATAAAAACAGGCAGTCAGCCCTCAGGCCATAGTCTGTCACCCTGGATATAAAAGAAAATATAATTTCTCAAAATAAATAAAAAACAAACCACCAAACCCACTGCCATCAAGTCAATTCCAACTCACGGTGACCATACAAAGGCAAGGAGAACTGCCCCTAATTTCCAAGGCTGTAAGCAGATTCCCTCTCTTTCTCCTGTGGAGCAGCTGGTGGGTTCAAACCATCAACTTCTGATTAGCAGCCATATGCTTTAACCACTGTGCCACTAGAGTCTATAAATGATAAACCAAACACACACCATCGAGTTGATTCTAACTCACAATGACCACCACTAGGTTTCTAGGGCTTTAAATCTTTATGGAAGTAGATTGCCTCATCTTCCTCCCACAAAGCAGCTGGCAGGTTTGAACCACTGACCTTCTGGTTAGTAGCTAAATGTCTTATTACACCACCAGAGCTCCTTCTATAAATGATAAGTAGTCTATATATTATCAACTCCACACTGATCTCTTAAAAGCAGAAATACTGGCAACAGGTGGCTACTTAAGAAGGAAAATTAACATTTGCCACCATCCACTATCTACCTGGCCTTGTGCAAAGGCTTCATCAACCTCATTCAGTCAGCCTTACATTCTGCAGAAAGGTTCTATTACTCCTGATTTACAGATGAGGAAGTTTGAGTTTCAGAGGGATCAAGGAACTTGGCAAGATCACAGGGCTGCTAAGTCGTAGACTGTATCAGTGGAATTCCTCCACACTCTCTTGTCTGGCATTTAGAAATAAAATCACATGAACCAGGCATGTGGGCTATTCTGATAAGGTGGCAGTTGGATCACAGTACCTCAACATTATTGCCCAACATTATAAGTCAAGGGGCAAAGGAGATGAACAAGTAATTGTCACCTAATTTGCAAGTTGGATTTTAGAGACAGGAAGTGGGAGGGCCATGAGCTGTTGCATTCAGTTCTTACTTTTATATTTTCCAGGAAGCACATTATCAAATGTGAAAGTCATCGAGTTGACCTTGCCAGAGAGCTGGAGGCTCCGCTTCTCGCCCTGGCGGCTCAGGGACTGCAGGGTCACCAGCAGGTCACCACAGGTGTCTGCAGAGAAAAGACAGGAGAAGCAGTTGCAGAGCTATGGTCCACCCAAATGGTCTAGTCTCATCTGACTGTCCTCACAGACCAAAAAACACATGTTCAAATCCTCAACCTTCCTATGTGCTAAATGCTATCCTTTAGCTCCTAAAAAGCAGAGCCATGAGGGTTTCTTCAAACCTAGTATGCATCTATTTGATTCCTGGGAGTCTCCTTCCACAAAGTCATCAGTACCAAACAGTGAAGACCACCACGGCAAAGGCTGTAAGACCATTCACTGAACACCCCTACGTGAGCCAGAAGAGGAGACAGGATAGAGAAAACAACATTTATGGAGCACCTAATAAGGGAGAGACAAAAGAAGAGGGAGTGCACCAAGAGGGGTCAGAAGAAGTCAGAATGCCTACTATATACTAAGCACAGGACTAGGCCCTTTATAACAAGAATAACAGCAACAGAGACTTACATGGCTCTCGCTGTGGTCTAGGCTATACATGAACTAGCTCATTTAATCACAACAACTCTATAAAGTAGATA